AGTAAAAAAAATAAATAACTGCCATAAATTTACCTGAATGTTCATATAATGGTCTGCAATAGTTAATTTTAGTTTATTAGTTGATTTATACTATGCTTTCACTTGGAGAAGCGAGTAATTATAATATATACAACACCAGCTGATACAAAAAAATTTTCAGAATAGAACAAAATGTCACATTGTTCTGAAAGTTTTGCAGAGAGGTAGAACTAGTACTGCCATCAATTGAAAATTTTTCGAGATTTTTTATTTCAAATCATATCGGTAAAATATACCATGTTCACATGTGCCCCCCTCTCCCCTACCAGTGAATTGATGTTTAATATTCGTAGTGGTAGTTGCGCCACAACAGTATCAATATTTTAATGCTCAATCATACCCATATTTAAACAAAATTTGTAATCAAGGTTACATTTTAAAGTAGGGTTTTCAACAGTGAATATGTAGTTTTTACTCAAGAAGGCGACTCTTTTAGGATGATTGGAATGAATCATTTTAAAAATCAAAATAAGGATAAATCTCAGGGTTGCCACAGAATACAAAATGGTCACTTTTAGTAGCATGTAAAAATAGTTACCTAAACAAAAATATTATCAAATGACTTAAATGTTATATACCATGAACCATTCAGTCAAGTGGGTAGCAAATATGATAATTTTTATATAAACAGTTTTAGCACTAAATTTTTAAATCAAGAAAAATTAAATACTTTTAATTACTCATTATCATCATATCTGGCTAGACAGCCCAGGGTGGGCCAGTGCCTTCCTTTGAATTCGAATCCACTTCTCTCTACTTTTGACACTTGTTCGCAAGTTTTTCTCCTTTAGAGTAAGGAAATCAGTCTCAACTAAATCCAGCCATCTCAGCCTGGGTCTACCTCTTTTCCTGTTCGTTAGGGGTTTGTGTAATAGGATTTTCTTTAAATTTGAGTCATCATTCCTTCTGAAAATGAGAGCTGCCCAGCTCATTCGATTTATTTTTATGAATTTCACAATACATTTAATTACTAGAATTTATTAAAAATAAACACAATTTTTCTAAAATTTTTTCCCCTTTTATCAATAATTGATTTAGCAAATATATATATTGTAAAAAGTGATTACTCAAATTCGAAATTTGCGCATTGTAATATCGTATTAAAATTTATTATTATTTTTTTAAATCTTGCAGAATTTCAAAGCAATAACCGTTGAAAAGACGAATCGAGAAACAAAATAGATTTACAATGGAATATGTGCGAATTGTGTGCATTAAAAAGTGATGACTCAAACTTGCAATTCAAAATAGTTCATCTTTTAAGAGAGAAGAAAAAAACTCATTATGCCAGGGCTGCAGGTTTATGCTAAATAAACATCGCTAAAAGTACAGAAAAGTCTTCCAATAGTCACCTGTGGCAACACTGCTAACTGTATTTGACGAAAATAATAAACAAGCGTACGACCCGTTGAATTCATTACAAATCTGTTCAATAGATTTTAAATAACTCAAAGAGCTTTATTTAATTTACAGTATTTAAAAAAGTTTTCCTCTCTTGTTTAGTTATTTCTCTTAATATAAACATTTTAAAACTGTTATATGAAATTTCAGATTCTTGTTTAAGGACATTTTTTAGGGGCGTCCAGACTCTAATTATTAAAAATCTAACTGTATTATAATGTTCTCATATAAATCTTTTTGAATTTGTGTTTTAACTCTTAACAATAAACATACCAACACTTAATAAATACCTATTTCCACCATTGCCGGTCAAATGACAGAACTTTGTTTCTTGATTGAATGTATGAAATAGGGATGTTTAGGAAGGAAATAAACTTTAAAAAAAAAAACTTTATTATAATTAAACAAAATTGTATGTATTGCCAATTTTTATAACACAAAGAATAAGAATTTTTAACTCATTGCTCAACGCATTTTTTACATATACAGGGAGTTTCCATTGTACATTTTCCACAAACATATTTCCTCTAATTATAATTATTTCTATAATTCTTGTAATTATTCTTATAATTATAAGAATATATACGAATTATAATTCTTATAATTAATATTATTTCTTTTAAGAACTTGTGCTGTCTCGATGGTTTCGACATTTTTCTGGGTAAAAACTAACAGTTAGTTGGAAATGAAGTAAAGCCAACAAAATAAAATATAAGCGACTTATCAAAACATTTCGTTTTTGTCACTTTTTCTGACACAAAAATGCCCACCTAAAATGTTAGGTACTTTCTTGAAATATGAATTCAGTTATTCTGACTGAACTAACTACGCAACAGTCTTTGCAAAAATGTGCGACTAATAGAATGCAATACATAGAACACACATTACATCGTTGTTTCTGATCCGATATCCTTGTAAAGCAATAAATTGTTCTCCCGGTCAAATGACCGGTTGTGGTAGATATAGGTATAGAGCAATTATTATTCGACACAAACAAAATGCAAAAATAATAATAATAGAATATTAACTGTATATAATTGTTAGAAAAAGTCAAAAGTAAAATGAGCAAAAACAATAAGATGATTAGCGCATTTTCGATGCATAAGTTCTTAAACGGGCATTTGACCGGTTATGGTATGTTTAGTGTTAAGGCTCTAATACATGGGTGATTCTCACAAAATGTGACAGTCTCTTGCTTCCAAGACCTAATACTATACTACTTTTAAAAAAGAACTTTTTTTTTTTTAAATTTTAATAAATAGCATTGCTGTTAGTATTTTGAAATGACCTTGTACTAGCATTGACTGTTTTGCATATTTAAAAAATTTAATTAAATTTCAAAATGTCATTTTCCTGATATGTCACAAACAATATTTTCAATAACTAGCTTCAAAACTTCCCATAAATTTTTCAATATCTAATTATTTTTTTTTATCTCTACCATTGTAAGCATTTCCAAAATATATGCAGAGGGTATTACTTACAAAAACTTAGTTGAAAATAATTTTTTCTCTCAATAATTTGTTTGTCACAGGAAAATCTGTCATTTTCCTAGCTACTTTTATTTAGTGATTTATAACCAAAATAGATAGCACCAGCAATCAATATCTTACGCTAATAAATTGATTTGAATACCGTCCTATCAGAACATGTCTTATTGCATGAATAAAGTACCAACTTTCTGGTTCAAAACCTATTTCAACAAATTTTTCAAGGTGAGTAGGTTTTTAAGTTGTCATTTTTTGGTTTTTATGTTGTCATACTTCTGGAAATCATCATTAATAACATAAAATACATAGATTAATCTGAGTTATTTCAAGAAATCCTGTTTTCTGAGGAATGTAAACATCTTAGGCCGATAATAAATTAAAGTTAAATGCTATAAAATAGCAAATTGTCATTATCCTGGCTTATGAATGCCAGGACATGGAAACAGTTACCAGAAATTTTTTTAAACAGTTTAATGTAAAGAGGGAAAGCAAATATTTATCTAATACCAAGTTTATGTAAGATTGTAATATGCTTGAATGTAATCAAAGTTATTTTTATTATTTAATGATTGATTATTATACACAATTTTATTCTGTATATCAGCAACAAAAACATTTTTGATTCTTTCTACAGTGGATAAAAGAATTAATTTAAGCAATTCATGGTCCAGTTGAGTTACTTACTATTAGCTTAAAATGACTGCTTTTTTAACTTCTAAGCTAATATGTGATTTTCCTGGCATTCAAAAATTAGAGAATTTCTATTTTTTTTTTTTTTTCCTTGAGCAAATGCCAATAAACTACACTGCTGTCTGTAAGATATCAATAAATGTAACTAAATAAATATATATATTGAAACAAAAAATAGATAATTTTGAAGACTTTAAATTTGAAGAAATTTTGTTCTGAATTGTCATGTTTCCAAAGAATCGTCCACATATTTTATTTGAAGTTTAACAAAAAGGAGGGTAATTTTTATTTAAGTAAATCATTTAGATCAATAGGTGCTTACTTTCAATATTTAAGACTGATTTTTTTTCGGTTGGGGTCTACATAACAGAATTTTACTAAAATATATACAAATAAATAATAATACACAACTTATCTCAGAGGGAGAGTCAACTACTTTATTTTCGGCTTCAAGCTAAAAAATAATATAGTCTTCAAAAAAAAAATTTATGTTTCCCTTTTCAAATCACACTTACAAGGTATCTGCTATATTTTAGATTTTCAAATTCATGACTAATTCCAAGAACTTTTCATGACTTAACAAAGTTACTATTTTCTCCCGACAAAAACAGAACAATAAATTTAAAAAGCATTATAATAACTTCAATTGAAATGACAGGTATAACCAAAACTGTTATACTCTGCATCTTCATATTTATAGATTTTAAATTTAAAAAACAGAGAAAAAAAATAGAGTTGAAACAATAAAATAGCTGAAAAAATACAAAAGCAAATCATTTCTTTTTCTGCAGAATTATAATCGAAAGATAATTATGTTGTTCATCGGAAAGGAAAGAAATACTCCTGATTTTTCTGTTCTCATTTTGGAATAAAAAATATAAAAAATTCGCTATTGACTGGCTTGCTTCAGCTAGAATTTTAAAAGATAATTCACTCTAGAAATGATGTTTTCTCGTTCATATTTTTAAAAGAACACCATAATTTTTAAAGAACATGATAAAAAAATTTTATATTTTAATAAAACATGAATGTGAGTGGGGAATTTTTTTTAAACATTCAGATATTCGGAACACAATGAAATAAGGGGTGAGGGGAAAAATTCGGTGACCTATTTCCATGATTTTTAAGTGACCTAAATCCATGAATTTCCATAATTTTTTTTTAAAAAAAAAATAGTTAAAATCATGACATTTCATGACAAATTTTGTTCAATACCGAAATTCATGACTTTCCAGGTGCGCGGATAACCTGCACATATCAATTTCTTTACCTCTGTTAAATCTTCCTAATCAAAAGCTTTCTTTTTTTTTTTTTTCATCGATCAGATAAATAAAAAAACCAGGCAGAAAAAGAAACCTAAAAGCTATATATATAAAAAAGTAAGAGCTGAGGGGAATATTTATTGAAATAATATTAACTTTCAGAAGGAGCAGCATTTGTATTGTCTATTGTTTCACTATTTACAGTATTAGTTAATGGTTCATCACACCCAGAGGCAACAGAAGTGTCCATAACAGAAGTGTCCACAACAGGAGTGTCCACAACAGGAGTGTCCACAACAGGAGTATCCACTACAGGAGTATCCACTACAGGAGTGTCCACTACAGGAGTGTCCGCAACAGGAGTGTCCACCACAGGAGTGTTACTAGATTCTTCTTTCTGTTCAGCCTGCAAGGCTTTAGAAGATTGTTCATAACTTTGAAATTTTATTTCTATTTCAAACCGCTTCTGATCCTGGATTTCTCTCTCTTCGGACAAGGTCCTACCCCACCTCGACGAGCGCTTACTTCTTCCAGAGTCTGTTGTTGTCGTCATTGTTGTCTCACTACTTTTCGTCGTGACAGTTTCCTTCTTTTTTGTTTCTAACTTCTTCGAGAGATGGGACGCGTAACTGGGATTTTTGTCCCTTTGATAAAACCTCAGTTTAAACATATCGTCCATTAGACTTTTACTGTTTCTTTTGCTATTAGATTTCTGTTTGTCTTTTGATTCAACAGTCTTCTGCTTGACTTCGGCCATCGACCTATTTTCGTTGCGATAGTTCCGCCTCTCATTGAAATTTTCTTCACAGTCGAACCTGTCGGGTTCTCCCCAAGCTTTGTCGAACCCCCTCTCGAAATGATCGTAGTCGCGCGGGTACCAGTCGCGGCCGTCCATGGGCATCTCTCTACGCGGCATTCTGGGATGTGGCGCAAACTCCATGTGTTGGTGATTCGGGTGCATTCCTCTGGGCCCGCCCATCCTGGGAGGAAAGCCTCTGGGAAAACGCACGAGCCCACCCCTCGGATGATGGGGAAATTCGGTAGGACCTTGAAATCTAGGATCATTTCGTGGTGGATAATCTCTATCCATGGAAGATTCATCGTCCGTGCTTATTACCATATCGTGAGAGGGGCTGCTTCTGCTTCCTGAAATTTCCATATCGTCCGACTTCTTCTCCACCTCGTCCTGCTTGACCTTGTCCGGAATAAACGGCTTTTGCTGAAGCCAAGGAAACTGCGGAGGACGAATGCCGGGAGGGGGGAAACTGAAACCAAGAGTGGGTGGGGGGTATGGTATAGGTGCTCCGGCAGACGAGACAGGAGGCAGCATGGGGCGATTCTGGAGGCCCAATATAGCGTTAAACTGACTAACGGGATTGGATTGTTGTGCAGATGAAACAGCGTTTGAAATTGGAGAGTTGATTGTGCCGTCTTCTTCTGTGGGAGTGGCATCTCCAGAAGGTGAAACTGCATCACCGTTTTTGAAATTTTGCAAGGAGGCATTCGGTACAGGAGGAACAGCACGAGGGATCATGGGTGGCATTCCTATTGGATTTAGGATGGCTTGGGACTGTTGTTGCACCATCAACATCGGATTAGGTGGAGGTATACCCATAGGCACTTGCATCACCATTGCCTGAGGCGGAAGCAAACCTAAGCAGTAAAAGAAGGAAAAAAAATTCAAGGTTTTCATAGCAATTATTCAACTTATGCATAAAAAGGATATCTAAGCTTTTTAAGATATCACGCAATGAAGTTAGGTTATGAACAGGTCAAAGAGATAACTCCAGGGTTCATACAGAGATCAGAAGAAGAAATCCAAGGAGTCCAAACTTTTAAGGACTTATAAAGAATTTAAAAACTTCGTGTAAAAGATAACAAGACAGTTTTTTTTTTAAAAAATTAAAAAGCAGTTATTATAAGGAACTTGCAACAATGTATACTTTGCATATTTTTTTCTAGCCCTTTTGAAATAAATTTTGACTTTGTCAAACTTCATCAAGAAAAATAAAGTTATAACTTTTACACATAAATACATTTTCCAGTTTGAAATATTTTAATAAATCTTATTAAAGTACAGATGCTAAAGATTAACATAAAAACCTACCAATCTTATATTTCTAATTTGAATACAAAATCTATGGCATTTTATAAAATAAAAAAAATCACAGTAAATTATTAATTAAGTTTGCTTTCTAACACGTAAAATTAAAAATATTTGCTGTTATTTTTTTCTTCTAACCTTTGCAATTCAAATTTTTCTTCCTTTAAAGTTTTAGACTATAGATTAAACTATTAGATTTTAACAGCTAAGTCATATAATTTTGTTTCCCTGCATGGACAGCAAATTCATCAGCGGACTTAGTTCATATATGCAACACAATAATCTAAGGACTAATTTGGAAATCTAAGTAGTTCCAAGTACTCCTTGGAGACCTTTTTAATTCCAAGGAGTATAAGGAGTCTGTACGAACCCTGTAAACTAGTGTTTGCTTATTTACTCCATCGGTATTTTTTATATTTCTGTTTCTAAATTTTAATATTATTGAATTTCGATTTTTTTTTTTGTATTTTTAACCTGAAGATTTCCCTGGTTTGAGCAACCACAGATGCAATGAAGGAGATTTTTTATTTATTTATGTTTTCAAAAATAACACTTTTGATGTTTGGTAGCTTATCTTCAATGAGGTCATTTTTTTACTTGATCTAACTATAATTAATTTATATCAAATAAGTGCTTATTAATAAAATGAAAATTAAATAACACTTTTGATGTTCGGTTTCCTTTTTTTAAAGTTCAATGAGGTCAATTTTTTCACTTGATGTAACTATAATTAATTTATATCAAATAAGTGCTTATTAATAAAGTGAAAATTAAATAACACCTTTAATGTTCAGTTGCTTTTTTTATGTTCAATGAGATAAATTCCTATACTACATGTAACTATAATTAATTTATATCAAATAAATGCTTATTAATAAAATGATAATTAAATTTTCCAGAGTTAATATCTTCTATAGAAGATACTATATATATTTCTCAAATTATTATTAGCAGTCATTGCAGCATTTAAATAATTTTTCGCATGAAAAAAAAATCGCGGATAATACAGATTGCGGCTACAATAATTCAAACGAATAGTGTAAGAAAATTCTAAATAATTTAACTAACTTTTATTTTTTTTTTTTAAAGAAAAAACAAACAAACAATCGATACTCGAAAGTAATATAAAATTTAAAAAAGAATATTATGGATTAAATGATTATAGATTTTGATAACATTGATTGAGATGATAGATCTTGCCCAAAAATAAAAACATTTTAGAGATGAACTGGCAAAATAATGTGCAATATTGAGATATGAAGACAATGAAAAGAATTATAATTTTTTTTAAATCCACGAAATGAAACTATTAATAAAATTAAAAACATATACATTACTTTAAATATATATTGAAAATTATGCTGAAATAAATATTATTTCATCAATACAAATTTTGATCTGAGGTAACATTCAAACTACACAATAATCTGCATCAAATAACTTTGCAAATCAAGAAATTTAGAATTTTATAATCATAAAATAATCTGCTGAATGTTTGGAAAGAATAGGATCATTTAGAAGAGATTAATTGCTTAAAACTACATGAAGTTAGAATGCCTGTCTTTGTCATTTTTAATATATAGCCATGACACATATGGGGCATATGTCCCTTTTCCCCAAGGGTCAATTTCCCAGACACTTTTTAACAATCAAAATAAACAAACATTTCTTCATCTTCCCCTCTCCTTTAAGAAAAAAAAAAGTCGTTTGACAGGTTTTTCCCCTTCTCAGCTTCTAGAGATCTATGCATTGAACCCATAAATCAATAGAAAAGAGAACAGAAGATCTACTAAGACCATGACGCTCCTCCTCTGGAATGCAGGACAGGGGGGGGGATTTGTTTTCAAAAGAGCACAACTGAGTCCCCTCCCCCTTCTTTCCTATGCAGCTGGCTAGTAAAAGAGGCATTTCCTGGAACTTTTTTATTTGAGTGTCAGAGGAAGAAGAAATACTGTGAAAAAGGGTAAACACAGCAAATGTTAAAGTGGTTTTTATTGTTTAACAGGGAGCGTAGTGAAATCTTTCAACAATAAATGAGCACCTTTAAAGCACTCAAAGAATATTTTTAAGCGCTATGTACATTAACAAACTGCAAAATAATTTTCAAAGACTTTACGTGATCATGTTAAAATAACTATTTTCTGACCAAGAACTCTTTTCTCGATTAAATAGCCATTATAAAATGAGATTTTTCGGTTCAATATCAAAGGGTTGAAAATGCAGTCTGAAATTGAGAATATCTTACAAAATGCAACAGAGTGGAGCACGAGAGTGCAAGAATCTCACTGAACCCAGCTCAGTAGACACACATGCAGACTCTCAAGTATTTCCTCAAACATGTAAAATGATTGGGGATTTCATACGTTATGGACCCATGGTACGCCAAAATGGATTGTTGTTGAATTAATTGCGAAAATGTCGGATAGAACAATGTGAAAAGCACACTTTTGCATAATACGTGGCGAAAATAGACTTGGTAAAGTATTCTCATTTTTGAAAAGGGAAAATTCAGCACTTTATAAAAACACCCAATGAAAAAAGCACTTTTAAAGGCTTTTAAAAAAACTAAAATCGAAAATAAGTACCTTTAAGGACTTTTTAAAATGCTATTCATCATGTTTAAGAAGTAGAGAGAAAATTACAGGGTATCTGCTACATGTTAGATTTTCAAATACATGACTTTCCATGACTAATTCCAAGAATTTTTCATGACTTAACAAAGTTACTATTTTCTCCGACAAAAACACAACAATAAATTTAAAAAAGCATTATAATAACATTCTCTGAAATGATAGGTATAACCAAAACTGTTATACTCTGCATCTTCTTATTTATAGATTTCAAATTTAAAAAACAGAGTAAAGAAAGAGTTGAAGCGATAAAATAGCTGAAAATACAATAGCAAATAAATTTTCTTCTTCTTTTTTTCTACAGAATTACATTTTAAAGATACTTTTCTTGTTCAACAGAAAGGAAAGAAATTTCTGTTCTCATTTCAGAATAAAAAAATTCGCCAATGAATGGCTTGCTTCAGCTAAAATTTTAAATTGATAAAATAAAAAAATGAATAAATAATAACAAAAATTCTGAAATCACAGAAGTTAAAGGATAATTAGCTCAAAAAATGATGCTTTTTCTTCATTTTTTATTTTTAAAGAACACCATAATTTCTAAAAAACACGATAAAAACATTTTATATTTTAATAAAACATGACTGTGAGTGGGGATTTTGTTACTAATTCAGATATTCGGAACACCAAAAAATTGGAAGAGGTAATTCCATTTTAAAAATAAAATTTTTCGGCAACCTAAATCCATGACTTTCCACGATTTTTTTAAGAAAATAGTTAAAATCATGACAAATTTTGTTCAATACCAGAATTCATGACTTTCCAGGTGCGTGGATACCCAGCATGCATCATGTTTAAGAAGTAGAAAGAAAATTAAGTGTTGATAAGACAATAGGTGAAATAAGTTATTTTAAGAAGGGAAATTTATGACTTAACCTGGCAGGGGCAGTCCAAATTGTGGTTGCATGAGATGAACCATTCCTGACAAGTTAACCGGTGGAATGATGGGAGGTGGAGGAGGGACTGCCGTTGTGGGTAATGCTGCTGCCACCGCTGTACTGCTCATCTTGTTGTCCTTTGTCTCACTTCTCAACTCTGAAACATTCATCAAACACTTTAAATAATGAGGTAAATAATTTTACAGTTGTTTAAAATACAATAAAACCTTGCTGCAACAATATTTTGGGGACCCAATAAATAGATTGTTGCAGAGTGATATACAGGGTTTATTGATTTAAATCAAATGATTTTTTTTAAAAAAAAAATCATTGATTTAAATCAACTAATTCTTTTTATATATACAGTCGAACCTCTATTTTACAAAGTTGTTAAACCCCGATAATAAGTTCGTTCGTTAAACAGAAAATCTCCTTTTAAAATGCTTAAACACAAAACAGGTTTTAAACTCATAAACACTAGACTTAATTAAAAAAAAAAAAAGCAATGGATACACATAGTAGTATCTACTATTTATTTTATAAATCTTAACCATAAAAGAAATCTACATGGAAAACAATAGAGCAAAACATTATCCAGTGTGACACTATCACGCTATGTACATTTTCAACTAAACACAGCTATATTTATGCATAAAATTTTGAATGTATTTATTTGCTGTATACAATTATAACTGCAAATTAATTTATATAGGGAAAGTGGAAGTTAAATAGGGAAGTCTTCGTTAAATACCGCCATAAATAGAAAATTCACTTCGCTATTTGGAAGTTATTTTACGAAAAAATTTCCAAAATGTTCTTGGTTCCTCAAAAAAATTTGCTATAGAAAAATTCGCAAAATGGAAGGTTAAATAGAAGTCCGACTATATATTGATTTAAAAATTAAAACAGTGTTTTAAATTATTGATACTTTTATTATTTCTTTTCTAAGTTTTGAAATTTATTTTAAATAAATTGTGCATTAATTAATTTCAGCTAACGAAATTACTTTCCTTCTTGGTATGTGTTCAATATATTTGAAATAACATTTTTAAAAATCTTTTGATTCTTGAGATTGAAAGTACAGATTAAATTAAACATTTAAGTTTCTTTTCTCATAATATGTTTACAGTATCTATGACATTATCAGATTTTCTATAAAGAAATTTTGTGAAAAAAATTTCAATGAGTACATAGACTTTTTAAAAAAACTTTTTAGCTTATCTCTTTTAATACAGGATTAAAAATGAATATTTTATTTTAATATAAAAATATACAGATTAAATATTTATTTATTTTTTGATGAATGACTACATTTATAAACACAATCTGTTACATTTATTTTGACATTTTAAAAATCAAAAGAAAAAAAGAAAGAAATCACAATTTTAAATTAAAATTATGGTTTGGTAATTGAATCTTTGTTTTAAAGGTTAAAGTATTCTTTAAATTCTCTATTTCATCTAGTCTTTAAAATTCAATCATGCATTTGTTTCAAAATGGCATTCAAAGCTATGTATTATAATGAAAAATTGTTTTAGTTGGTTGGAGCTTCTAAAGTATTTTTATAATATAGTTTTAATATTAATTTCAATTTGATTAAAAATTTATAAAGTTTTCTTAGTCATAAATTAAGTTCTTACAATGTATTAGAATTTTAAAAAAAAATCACGAACCCTAGGGACATATCATTATATCGAGGACCTACTTACTTCGGGAAAATTTAAATGTTTATATGCATTAATTATAAATCTATTTACATATTACTTAAATATTCAATTTGCAGAGTGGTGATTATGGTTAAATATGAAACCAAATAGGAATGTTACATCTGTGACTTCTTAAGAGATAAGGGAGGTAATTCTAAGAATGGAAGGCCATGGGGTGGTCTGCGTACGTCAAGGATGGGGTATTGAAATCTAAATACAGTAGAAAACCGATTATCCGGAACGATCGGGACTATCGCTATTCCGGATAACGGATTTTTCCGGTTTTCTGAATCGCTACAAAAAGCAGTTTTTTTAGTGTTAAACCCAACTAAAAAAAAAAATATTTGGAAATAATCTTAAAAATAAGAAAAAACGATGAGGTAATACACTGATGATTATTTCTGAAATGATGGTAAGGTAAATATATTTCAAAAAAGAAAGAAAAATCCTAAAATCTTATGAGGAAAAAAAAAAATTTTTTTTTAAAAAAATTGCGGGAAAATTTATCGAATTTCGTTCCGGTTTTTTGGTTTTCCGGTTTTCTGATTTCCGGATAACGGGTTCTGTACTGTACAAAAGCCATTCACTGTGGTGAAAAGAAATAAGTACATATTCAGCAGTGAGACTTCTCTAGTCGGAAAAAAATGGCAAAATATAATAAAATAAGATTTTCTGCATTATTTAGAAACCAAAGATAAATTGAGAAAATAAGGTTGAAATTTGAAGGGGGGAAAATCGTTTTACAGGGGGGTTTATTGCTTCAGAGAATATTGAGAGGTGGATAACATTAATTCATATGCAAGTTGTTGGGACCACGAAACATTATTGTAATAGAGGGAGTTATTGTTGTATCGGATATCGTAGGAGCGAGAGTTCACTGTATAATTATCCTTTTTAATAGGAAAGGAATGTTGGTAAGTCACTGTACAGGGCTGGGGTTAGATTTCAGGAAGGGTTCACCGAAACCAGGGTTGTCACTATATTCGGAGCTATATTAGGCAAACCATATTTCTTAGTTTTGACTGCAGGAAAAAGTTAGAGAAAAAAAGCTGAACAAACTTAAATAATGCCATAGTAAATGAAATAGTTTAGTATAGCTGAAATATCCTTAAATATACGCAAATAGTTCAATTTGCATAGCCAAATTTTTTAACAAAATATAAGCACCTTTCAAGCACTCAAAAATATTTTTAAGCACTTTAAAAAAATATAAAGCAGGGTTGGCAAGTTTTTGAGTAGAGCCGAAAAACCAAAACTTTAGCGTAACGATAATTTTTAGCTATAATAAATAAGAAGTATTTTTAAATTAACATATACGTAAAATTAAAAGCGGTTCACCAATATTGTGTTCTTGAATTATTTTAGCGTAAAACTTCTTGTTTTGAAAATTACTGTCAAAAACCCAAATTTGTTTGTAGAAAATATTAAATAATTATAAATAAAAATGTGCCAAATTGCAATTTATCCAATCGCATAATTTGTTTAATTATTAAAAATAAAAATTCAAAAGTAATTATTTTATTAAAAAAAAACCTAAACAATAATCTTTTTTTTTTTTAAATGTAAAATGAGTTTTTACTTACTTCCATTTTAACTCCTTTTCCCCCCCAAAGAAAGCGATTACAAAAAAAAAAAAAATAGTTTCGAAGTTCCCTGTATTCCGGAGTTCATTTTTCAGTTTTGTATGAATAAGACCGAAATTCAGGGTTCCCCAAGTGGGCCCACCTTGAAAAAACCTACTTGGAACGATAAGTGGGTTTTTTCAAAAAAGAAATTTCTTTTTACTAAAACTTATTGTTTTGCATTTACTTTTATATAATTTATTGTGCAGCATAAATTTGTCAAATAGAGTTGCATGATTTATGTGATTAAGTTTTTAATATTAGTAAAGTAAAAGAAACTCGAATCTTCATATAATTTTATAGTAGGTACTACATATTGAAAACTTTAAGTGGGTTTTTTCAAAAAGTAATATTTTAATGATATTAAATAAAATAATAATTTCAATAATATAGTCTGAAAAGATCAATTTTTCGCATATAGTTGCATGCTTTATATATTAATAAACAAGTTATTATTATTAATTCATATGTTTAAATAAATTGAAAAGAAACAATTTTTTTCTTTTTTTACCAAGTGATACATTAACAAATTTAAACAGTTTTATTTTCTGGCTTTAAAAAAAAAGCTAAAACTTTTTATAAGAGAATTTTTTAAAATTATTTATCTAAAAATGAAATAATTTTCCTAGGGGTAATTCTTTGAAAACAAATGGAATAAGTAACTGATACTCTTTATAATTATACGTAGTTTTAATTTCACTTTCTATTAATCTTATTATAAAAATATGTAAGACCATTAAATATTTCAGTTTTTTATTTAATTCAAGTCAGATGAAATTTTAGTTTTTACTGATTATAAATATTTACTGATTATAGTTTTATAATAGGTAATATCCATATGTTTAATAAATATGGTAAATAAATGTGTGTGAAAACAAAAAGATTAATAAACTTGTTTCTTTTATATTACTGCATTGATATTTTATAATTCTTGAGTTAAAAAATTATGAAACATAATGTACTTAACAATAAAGAAGACTCAAATATGTGATAATAGTGATAATGCGTTATTTAAACTTAATATTAAATACATATAACCAGGGTTCCCCAAGTGAGCCCACTTTGAAAAAATCCACTTGGTGGTTTTTTTCACAAATTGTTTTTTTTAAATTTGGTTCAAAAAGAAGTATCTCCTAATACTATCATTGGATACATCGTTGAAGCTAACAAATATTTTAGAAGTGTGCATGAAGCACATGGATGGGCAAATGAAAAAAAACTGCTTGATGACCCAATGATACTTTTTGCCAATAATTACCATAAATATGAAGAGATAGCTCTTGAACATCAAAATGAATCTAATAATAATATGTCAAAAATATTAAATAATGTTGGGCTTTAAAAATAAACTATCAATTGAGAAAAATAGATATCAATTGTTTCTGAAGCTTTAAAAAAGCTTCAATCAGAAAACATTTCAATTTCAGAAGCTGTTGAAATATGAATTAGCTATAACTTTTTATCTATGCTTTTTTATAATTTTAAGATTAATTTGTTTTTTGAAACTATAAAGTTAAAATGTATCTAAAAATGCATATATTTATCTAAATATTTGAAAAAAGGGACAAGTAACTGATACTCTTTATAATTATACGCAATTTTAATTTCACTTTCCATTAATCCTATTGTAAAAACATGGAAGACCATTAAATATTTATTCCAGTTTAATTTTATTACAGGTAAAAGTCAGGTGAAATTTTAGTACTTACTTATACAACACTATTTAATACATAAAAATATTTTCACAGTAAAATTTATGAGCACTAAATGAAAAAACCCAATTTCCCCCGGGTTTTTTCAATAAAATCCGGGCGGGTTGGGTTTTTTCAAAAATCCCCGGGTTATTTCAAACCCTGCCGAAATTATAAACTATTCTTCCGATGGATGCTCAGTTCTTTAAGACTAGAAAGTTGACTAATATAACCGCTTCTAAACTAATATAACCAGGGGTCCGTCCAGATATTTTGTAAAAGGTCCGGTTTTCGTGAAATTGCGAAAAAATTACTCACATTCTTTCAACCAGGGTCCTGCTCCTATGAATTTGTGCAAATAGGATCCGGTTATTGCAAAAAACCTTTTCAAGGAGTTTTTAAATTGTAAATAGATAGAAGATTATGCTCAGCACAGTAAAAGTGTAAGAAAAAAAATTAAATTTTCAAAAATAAACAGCAATTGCTGCTTCTAAATTAGAAATGCAACATACAAATATTTGGTATTTAGCCTATACTGCTGTAAGCAGAATATTCATTTCGGACGAATAAAGGAAGAAGCGTTTGCCGAAGGCAAAACTTAATTCGTTTACATCCATATTTCTTGTTTTCGGCCCTGGGAAGGGTTTATTAAATTATCAAATCAATAATGAAGATAAACAAATTTGTGAAGGGTCCGTTTTTAAGTTAAAATATTTTGTGAAGGGACTGTTTTAATGAAAAGATATTTTGTGAAGGGCCCGTTAACGGATCTTTAATTTTTTCTGAACAGACCCCTGATAACATAATAAAATTACATGTTATTAAGAAATTTATTATAATAACTGTACTAAATATTGATGGTAACTTTTTTAAACCCTTGAATTGATTGATTGAAAAAATTATGAACTCATTTAAAAAAACATTTACATTTTTTGTAAATTATAATTAGCTTACTTATCAGGGAGTATGTTATATTTATTATTTATTGTAAATATTCATGTACATATAAGCAGAATTCTCTGTCCCAAATATATTTCCTTAGAACAAAGCTTTTTATGCATTATGTTTATTCATAATTTTAAGGAATATTATTCAAAGACAGTTACCTGAATTTTGTAAATGAGGCTTGCTTCATTATGTATTAGTGACACTTATTTAAATATTCAAACAAGCAATAATCTACATGAAAATTCTATTGCAATAATTTTTTTAAGGAAGCTTACTCAATTTTATGGAATTTTCTAAAATGTACAAAAACTAGGAGAATTTTTAATAAACCAGAAGAACAGGAGAAACTGGCCAGTAGTCTAATGGAAAATCCAGTAGAGTTGACAGCTATGGATATGGAATTTAACCCTTTGACTACAAACAATTCCAATGAAGAATACTAGCGGGATATATATGTCCCAGAGCAAAATCACAATGCTATTTCATGCGAGAAACTCTTTAGCACCATCTAGGGGATATTTGACACATGAAACACACATACTTGGTTCAACTCTACGACTGGGATATATTACAATGAGTTTCTAAGTGCTTTTCACCCCATTAGTAATTTTTAAACATTTGTTGGGACAAATGAGTCCCGTTAGTAGCCAAAGGGTTAAGATTTTGCAAGGGAAAAGTAAAATGAATTAAATATTTTTGCAAACATAGTACCTTTTAAATTGTCTGGCAAAGATTCTTCATCAATAAAGCCACCTTCTTCCAAAAGATCTAAAGATTCAGAAGAACCTTCAGGAATTTTTTCATGGGGCACATAGCTAACACCAGCATTAACATCCCAATATTCTTTATATTCTTTTCCCTTCACTCCTTTGCCAGGAGCCCAGGCCAACTACAAAAAAACAATGTTCACATTATATAAGTGTATAATTAACAAAAAGTATATTAAGAATTTATAGTTTTGTGCAGTGACCAATGAGGATGAATTTTGGTATTGTGTTTTTCAGTACCTTCACAAAAATTACGCGCACCAAAAACAGCGCATTCATAGAAAGTCACTTAAATATCATTTATCACCACAAATATTTCATAAAAACAGGTAACTTCTTAATAATTCTACCAAAAATTTATACCAAGAATCAGAACAGCAGATTCATATAAATTTATTCACAAACTTTCCTTGGTGAGAAAAAAAGTAAATAATCAGCACTGCATGATACTTTTATCATGCAAAATACATACAACATTGGAGAAATAAAATTATGGAAATTTTACTAGCAACATTTTTTGGGCTACGTGTAAAGTTTTGATACATCATGCATAATCTTGAAAGTCAAGAAGAGAAATTCAAAATTGGAAATAATATAAACAGTGACATTCGACGAAGTAAAAAATATGTATATAAATCTTAATTTAAAGAAGAATTTTTTAAAACCATTATTTATAATTATTTAAATTATGAACATTAAACATACTGCAGTACTGGCAATAGCACCATCTGTTGAGAAATAAGAGAAGTATTTTTGCCACTAGTGGATATTTTATCACAAAAAAAAAATATTTTTTAAAATTTCTTCAACAAATACAAAGAAATTTGAGAATATACAGGTGAACGTAAAATACAGGAGTCCTTATTAAAAAACAGGAGACTTGGCAAGTATGAAAATAGAAAAAAAAAATGAATAATTCAAATTTGATTTATTTCATTGTCTTACAACTCCAGCCAAGTGATTCACAACCTCTTAATGACTCACACAAAGAAAAAAAGTTTATAAATTGTTTAGTTACCTATAATACACAATGTAAAATACACTGGTTATCATAAATTAAGGAAAAATCACAAAAATAGCGATAACTCTTTCAAAAGTAAGCCAAACCGTGCAAAATTTGCATATGTTGTCCACTAAGAGNAATACACAATGTAAAATAGTTTATGATCATAATTTTGAATTAGAAATTTTTTAATTTTCAAAAAATTGTTTAGTTACCTATAATACACAGTGTAAAATAGTTTACGATCATAATTTTGAACTTTGATAATTTTGATTCCGGCTGTTACATTTTAGATTTTCAAATTCATGACTAATTTCACGAATTTTTCATGACTTAACGAAGTTACTATTTTCTCCAAAAAAACACAACAATAAATTTAAACAAAGCATTATAATAACATTAATTGAAATGATAGGTACAACCAAATCTGTTATACTCTTCATCTTCATATTAATAGATTATAAATAAAGAGTTGAAACAATAAAGAGTTGAAGCAGCGTAAAAAAAAGAGTTGAAACAATAAAATAGCTGGGGAAAAAATACAAAAGCAATATTTTTTTTTTTTTGCAGAATTATATTCTACAGATACTTATCTTGTTCATCGGAAAGGAAAGAAATACTTCTTATTTTTCTGTTCTCATTTCGGAATTAAAAAAAATTCGCCAATGACTGACTTGTTACAGTTAGAAATTTAAAAGATAATTTGCTCTAGAAATAATGTTTTCTCTTTCATTTTTTTTGAAAGAACACCATAATTTTTAAAGAAGAGGATTAAAATATTTTATGTTTTAATAAAATATGACTGTGAGTGAGGATTTTGTTACAAATTTAGATATTCGGAACGCCTTGAAATTCCATTTTAAAAACTAATTTTTTGGAGACCCTAAATCCATGACTTTCCATATTTTTTAAAAAATCATGACATTTCATGACAAATTTTGTTCAATACTGAAATTAAAGACTTTCCATGATTTTTTATGACTTTCCAGGAGCGCGGATAGCATGTATCAATAGTTAGCTTGCTTTATGCTAGTTATCCTTTGTTGATTTGTTTTTATAACTATTATTTGTATAGCTTATTTTAATGGTTAGCTTTTATTTCCTTTTGTAAGTTAACATTTAAATTGCTTTCTTTTGTTAATTAAAAATTTTAATAGTCATTAAATTTCCTACAACAATTAGATAAAAATGTATTTTTAATAATTGGATAAAAGAAATTCCTGAAAAAAAATTATTTTAAAGGAAATTTTATTTACTATCAAAAAATGCTTATAAATGTAAACATAAACATCAATTAGAGGCCTTGTCTGCAATTTGGAAAGAAATTTTTTTTTGCACACTAATCTTGTTTATTTGCGACCCTGTACCCAGGGAAAAAAATTAAGTATTTTTGAGAAAACACTCGGTTTTTACCAATAAACCTTAGGTTCTTGATAAAAAACCTAGGTGGGTCGGATTTTTTAAAACCTGTTTCTCTCAAATCTGCTTAATTTTTAATACAATCATGAATTTCAAAAAATGTTATGCTTTCTACAAATTTACAGTTACTTATACACATTGAAATATTATACAAAGTTATTTAATTAGAGATTTCAGGAAATAGTGTTCGTTATGGATTCTAGTTAAAAAAAAAAATTTCTCTTCTGATACTTCTTTTCTTAGCGTTTTACTTAATCCCTATAAGCAGATGCATTACTAGTATTTCAAAGGTTAGCGTGGGTCTTCTACTTAGGTACCTTAAAACTGCCCTTAAAAAAGAGCACTATATCTTCCATGTGTAGTATTCCCCTTGTCCACACTATTCTTTTCTTTTAAAATACTTCACTCTCCTCATAAAGTATCCTTCTAGGCAAAGGGCAGAATATATTAATGAAAGGACATGTTTTCTTCCCCTTGCCCCTCCCCCCTTTACACACACATTAATTTTTGTCTCTCTAAAATGCTTTACCATCGATGCATGGTCTAATTCTAAGTGATAAAAGAACTCCATTTTGTTTTAAAAAATTGAACTGAAAAATTGTTCCTATCAACCATAGTGATGCTAAAAAATTAAGAACTTTTAAAAACCTTGAACCAAAAAGTACTTTTAAGGACTATGGGAACTCTGTAACAAAATATTTTTGCCCTCCTATTAAAAGTGACTTTTTGCTAAACGAATTTTGCCCAAGAAACAATTTTTGAAAACTAAATTTATCTAATAAAAATATTAATGACTTAAATGTAATTTCTGTCTCCTAGAATATTTGCTGAAAGAATGAATTATACGTGATTCTGAAAGGGAAAACACGTAGAATAAGTAAACAAAATCTGCATAATAAAAACTTGCATTCGGTCGCACTTTTTGAAACATAATACAAGAAAAATTATGACATTCAATCAGCATAAACAAGTTTATAATTTTGAAATAAGAACAAAACCATGATCAATTCATTAAAGAGATGTGTCAGTTCATTTATAATCCTTCAAAAACAATAACAGGGCTCAAGTCAAAATTCTGGAAAATTTCTTGAGTAAAAAAAAAGCAAAATAAATAAATAAAATAAAAAATTTAAATAAGGTTTTTTCCTTTTTCTCAATATTTCTTAGCTTACTTAAAATATATGTAAAATTTTACACATACCTATGATGACCCGGAGAAGTAATTGAAATTTACAAATATGTCTTTCTTACTTGAGTTTATGATTACAATAACTATTTACTGATAAAAAATTAATATTAATCTTGAATATAAGCTTATAAAGTAGCACTCCTTACAAACAAATAAAATAATCTGTGTTTTTAAGTTCCACCTTTGAAAATTTGATTTACGAAAACTATTGTGATCAATGATTTTTTGAAATATCTGAACCTTCGGTCTCCGGTAACTTCCGGATCACGGTTAGCAAAAAATCCGGAAATCTGGATTTTTTCGAGAGTACAATCAGCCCTACAATAAAATAAAAATTTTTTTTTTTTTTAAAAAATTAATAAAAATTTTAAATAATTTATAAATTGCATGTTTGTTTTTTAGAGAAAATACTTAAAAAAATATATGTTAACTTTTCATCACGTTACAAAATAAATAAATAAAAATTCAGAATATATATAACTATTGCCAAAAAAAAAAAATACCATGCTTCTGCTCTAGTTATGAATCAAAAGTTTAACCTCCAACCAGTACTGGCATCATATGTCACAGTGAACAGAATAATAATGATATATTTTTAAAAAAAAGTGAAAAAGAATAAAAATAAATACTGCAAAATGAAAAAAAAAACATATATATACATACAGGAGTCTGTCCAGACATTTTGTAAAAGGTCCGTTTTTGTAAAATTGTGAAAAAATTACTCATAATTTGCGAATATAAAATAAACGTCAAGTAAAATTCTTTCAACCAGGGTCCTGCTTTTGTGAGTTTGTGCAAATAGGGTCCTGCTATTGCAAAAATCTTTTTCAAGGAGTTTTTAAATTGTAAAGACATACAAGATTATGCTCAACACTCTAAAATTATAATACAAAAAAATACATTTTCAAAAATAAACAGCAATTGCTGCTACTAAATTAGAGATGCAACAGACAAATATTTGGTATCTAGTCTATACTGCTGAAAGCAGAATATTCATTTCCGACGAATAAAGGAAGAACCGTCTGNTAATATTTGCAATATTCACCAAACTCGAGTGTAATTTCAGATTTTTCAATTTTAGTACGGCTTTATTGGCATCCTGTCTCCGATCCATGACGACAAAAGCACACCCCCTTGGAGGAATCATCTGCAAATCAAAAACAGCTGTTCAATTCACATACAATAAATTAGATAGTTATGACATACACCATCAGACTGGAAATTCAGTGTGGTATGGACTTCAACAAAACATCATTCTTGATCCTAAATTTCAAGAAATTTCTTATCAAGATTCCATTCCTAGGTTAGAAAATATGTAAGAATTTAGTTGTTGTTTCACTCAAAGGTAAAAATAAGAATTAAAGATTTTGTGTCATCCCACTTGACAATCATAGAATTGACAGCTTTTTTCAAAGTCTATACTTATTCAACTAATCGCCAGCCTTCTACTAAACTCAGAGGTGATTGCGAGCCCAACTCAAAAATCCCGAAAATTTCTCGAGTCAATTCAAAAATGACAATTCAAGAAAGGAATGTCTTTATAAATTTAAATCATTGATATTTCCAAAACATGAAATTCTAAATAAATTATATACAGCATAAAAAAGAATAATTATGCATAAATTTACTTTTATCTCTAATCACATTTATTATTCTACCAGAGAAAAATATTTACAAATGAAAGAGATGCAAAGCAAGTATAAATTCTAGTTCTAATATTTTTAAATAAAATATACAAGAATTTTTATCCGTAAATGTGATTGATGATTTCTTGAAACTTCTGGACTCTGGATTTTCGGATCATTCTCGGATCGCACGATCATCTCTGTATATTGTATATAATATAGGACCAAGTCAAAGAAGATTTGTTAGAATTAGTTGAAGTAGGGGTCAACGAAATTTTTTTTTTTAAAACGTTGGGCACTTGGGTCAATTTCCCATTGGCTACACAAATGCTAGAATTGCTACTCTCTTATCACTACCTAGTGGTCACCTGCAGTTATGCTACTGCGGTGGAGTAACATCGCCCACTTCATACAACCACAAACTTCTTTATAGGGCGGGCATTCACACAAATGAAAGAACATGAGCCAAGATGGCTCAGGAGATAAGAGCATTCGCCTTCCAATGAGGTGAAGCGGGGGTTCGATCCCGGCGGTGGCTGGTCAATACGAATTCCGCATCTGGCTTGCACCGTCCACAGTGCTGACGTGAAATATCCTCAGTGGTAGATGGATCATGGGTTAGGGCTAACAGTGGGAGGTTCTCATGGTCTTCCTCTCCATGCAATGTAAATGCGGGTTAGTTCGATCAAAAAGTCCTCCATGAAGGCAAATCTCACCCAATACTTGATCCAGGAGTTCCCTTGTCTTCTGGATTGGGTTCAAAATGACAAGGCTACGGAGCTGAACATTAGTAGTCGTAAACCCAAAAAATTGGGTCAGCTGTTCAATGACGGTTATAAAAAGAAAGAGAGAACATATAACACACTTGGAGGGAAACTAACATCCATGCTTATGGTGGGATTCGAACCAACGACCACTGGCCCCGTAGTCCAGTACAGTGACTACAAGACCGGTGATCGGCTTATCCGACGGAATATTTAACCCTGGCATTGCTCTTAAAACATGAATTTGTAACCTTAACCACGAGTTTTGAGAAATTAGTAGATTTCCAGATCGATGCCACGTGTCTGCTCCAACTTTTACAACTGGTAGGTGCTTCATTATCTTTGTGCTCTGATTACATTTTAAATTTGATATCACAAAACTACTTGCCAAAGTAAATATTACCGAGCCCCTCATATTTATGTTTCTTTTTTATATAAGCACGAAAGGTATCCTAAGTGCTGTTATCTGCTCACTCAAAGCAAATGGCTAGGAATTTCCGCCCATCTTTTTAAAAACATATTAACCCATTCACAGGAAGTAAAGAAAAAAATCCAAGATAACGTGAAGTGAGTGTTTTGTTTTGTCTGAAATACAAAATTGAATATGAAGAATTTGAATTAAAGAATTCGAACTGAGAAACTATTTTGCATCACAGCTTCCTTGATTGAGCAACACAGGCGAATTTCAAAATGGTTCTCGATTTTCTAAATAATTCTTAGTTTCAAATCAAATGCACAACCATCATTGTTTAAAATTAAGACATTCAAGTAAAAATTAGATTGTATTTGGATTTAACAATTCAAAATTAAAAACTGACAAAAAAAAAATTTCTACTCATAGACCAGAAGAGAGAGAAGAAAAACTGATTGTATTTTACTTTTACTTGAATAACCGTCGTTGATTAGCCAACCCAATTCAGGGTTTACGACTACTCGTGTTCAAGTTCATAGCCTTGTCCATAGTGCATAGCCAAATTATTCAACAAAAATTAAGCATCTTTTAAGCACTGAAAAAATATTTTTAGGCACTTTAAATAAATATCATAATTAGGCAGGTTAGAAAGTTTTTGACCATCGACGGTTTTATCTTGCTTCAACCATCATGTCAAAAAAAAAAAAAAAACGTTTGGCATTGTGTTTGAAAAAATCATGAAATTTTGAATCAGGTAAAACGAATGGCGTTTTCATACGCTACTGACTGATTATATGCCAAAATAGATTGGGGTTGAATTAATTGTGAAAATGTAGAATAGAACAATGTGAACTGTGTCTTTTTGCATAATTCGAAGCGAAAATCAACATGGTAAAGGAAAAATCCCATTTTGAAAAAGAGTAAAAGGAAGCACTTTTTTAAAAACACCCAATGAAAATAAGCAGCTTTAAGAACTTTTTAAAAACACCCAATGAAAATAAGCAGCTTTAAGAACTTTTTAAAAACGCTACATACCCTGTTGTCATTTTGAACCAATCCAGAAGACAAGGAAACAAGAATGATATGTTATGGGAACATGGAGGACTCTACTGCGCAGGAAGTCTTCAGCCGGCGGGGATCGAACCCACAAACTGCAGTACACGGTCCCAGTGCTCTACCAATAAGGCTATCCCGGCCCCTGACATAATTCTTATGAAGAGAGAAATTAAATACTTACATCGATACTTAATATTGTTCCAAATTCACCAAACACAGCACTGATATCACTTTCAGTGCAAGATTTAGGTACATGACCCAGCCACAAAGTAGTACTGCAAACTAAAAAAAGAGAGAGAATACTTTGTTTACTCATCATACCTTATAATAAGTGCTTTATTGAGTCAATATACAGTGAGTCAGTATAAGGTCATACAATATCTGGGCATCCTGTAAGGTTCTGTCCAGACATTTTGTAAAATTGTGAAAAAATTACTCTTAATTTGCGAATATAAAATAAACGTTAAGTCACATTCCTTCAACCAAGGTTTTGCTTTTGTGAATTTGTGCAAATAGAGTCCTGTTATTGCAAAAAACTTTTTCATGGATTTTTTAAATTGTAAAGACATATAAGATCATGCTCAACACTGTAAAATTATAAATAAAAAAATTACATTTTAAAAAATAAACAGCAATTGCTGCTACTGAAATAGAGATGCAACATACAAATATTTGGTATTTAGTCTATACTGCTGAACGCAGAATATTCATTTCGGACGAATAAAGGAAAAAGCGTCTGCCGAAGACAAAACTTAGTTCGCTTACATCTGTGTTTCTTTCCCCCACCCCCTGGGAAGGGTTTATTCGATTAACAAAGAAGATAAACAAATTTGTGAAGGGTCCGATTAAAAGATAAATTATTTCGTGAAGGATCCGTTTATAAGTTAAAATATTTTGCGAAGGGTCCGTTTTCATGAAAAGATCATTTGTGAAGGGTTCGTTAACGGACCCAAATTTCTTCTAAACAGACCACTGGTCACTTTTTCAGGGTTGCCACTCTGTGTTTTTTCTGTATACATTATACACAATATATTAAGAGGAAACTGTGCTCTTGTGTTAAATATATTGGACAAACTAAAATAGTTTTAATTGCTAGAAAAAAAATTGAAGAGAAGAAAAAAGAAACAGCGGAACACACTTAAATAATGATAAAGTAAATTAAATAGTTTAATATAGCTGAAATATCCTCCTTAAATAACTCACAGATTTCACATTGAGTGGTCACCCTTTTTTAAAATCCTAAAATAAGAAACAAAATTCCCTGTATTTTCTTGGTTTTCCCCATTCTCCCAGTGGAGTGGCAACCCTCTTTTTAGAAGACAAGTCTCTTTCGGGCGCTACTTCGATAATATTTGCAATATACCTTCAAGAGTTGTTGGGTAAAAAATCATACTAAATGTCTAAAGCCCAATATGAGTAGTTATACTGGTTTAATTTCTCTATTGGTATGTTAGGTTATAAAGTTGCTATGATTCTAAGTTCATTACCCCCTCCTTTAAAAAAAAAAATATCAACAAAGAAAAAAAATTGTAAATTGATATTCTTGTTTTTAAAAGAATAAATAAACCTTGAATAAATATCGGCCAGTTGGTATAGTTCATGTAGGCCAGTAAATATGAAAGTGCAGATTTGAAAAATGTGTGGATAATTTATAATAAATGAATAAACTGAGTTTTCATACCAAAAGAACAAAAAGAATGACCACAGCAGAACAAGGATTTGTTAAAAGTCATTTGGATAATTTGCCTACATTAGACAGTGTAACGATATTTTTCTTAACTACAAAAACATTCTGATTTTAAAAGGGTAGAAAAAAAGTGTAAAAGCAAAGTTATTACTTTCACATATAATTACTGTTAAGAATTTACGTTTCTTATTAAGAGGGAACCATACCACGGCAGAAATTTAACGTCACAAATTTTCATTCACCTCCATTACTAATTTAAAAGAAGAAAAAGTGAGATCAAGCAATTGTACAGTAAGCCATGAATTTTCGATTGCTAAAAAAAAAATTTAAGATATCAAAATGCAAGCAAATTATTGGATGAGAACTTTTCCATTCAGTAATCTTAAGTTATCCTCTCATAATTTATTTTCATTTGTGTATTGTGAAATGTTCTTTTTATTGTTTGAAACTCTAAGTTGGCCTGAACCCACTATACTTTAAATTAGTTATTCAGGTAGAAGAAAATTTGCAAAGAAAAGTTTCTCCAGCGGGACTCTTAAGCACCAATGTTCGTGATATAAATTTTCAGGGTTGCCACTCAAATCAAATTTCCCTGATTTTTCCAGATAAAAATCTTTCCAGGTTTGAGCTTCTTTTTTCGTATAAAGTGTAGACAAGAAAAGTGTCTATATTTATTTATTCAAAATGTTATTTTTTAAACATAACATAATTTATTTTTAAAAAATTGGCAAGATTTTTTTACTTATTTTTTAATGCTTTGGTACAACATAAATTTTTAAGAAATTAAGACACGTGGAGAAAATATGTTTAGCTTGTAGAATACATTGCTTTTATTGAATAAAATTTTTTTAATGTGTCACGTTAAAAAGTTTTTTCTCAAAGTGTACCTAGCAAATGGCAAAAACAGTGACCAATAAGACCTTCAATAAGTATTGTTTAATATATTTTCACTAAGCAAAAAGGAAAACCGTTTCAGGTGATAATATATTAATAAAATTTTATAATTATAGTGGCTCCCAAAAGTGTTTGTCCACGTATAATTTTTATTGAAATAGGAAGTAAAAATTCATTAATTAAAATGAATATTTCAGAATGCATAGCTGCCAACATAGATAGACAAAAATCCAGTAGATTTTACAAAATAATATAAATTTCATGATAACTGTAGCAAAATATGCTAAATATTTTAAACACAGGGAATTTTAGGGATTTTTATAGACATCAAAATAGAAAAACTGCAATTTTTCCAGTCATAATTGGCGTTAAATATGCTTGAAATGTTGTGAATTATGTTTACTTGTAATTTTGAATAAGCATATAATTCATACGAAATAATTAAGATGTTTTAATACATGTAATAAAGGGAGTTCTGAATAAAAATAAACCGAACATTTTAGAACAAAAAAAGCTTCAAATTGATTTTTATAAATGAGGATTTCCTTATCATATATTAGTAATACTTATTTAAATATTCAAGAAATAATCTATAAAAAAATTCTATTTCAATAGGGATTTTTATGAAACTGACTCAATTTTAGGGAGTTTTCTAAAATGTACAAAAACCAGGAGAATTTTTATAAAACCAGTAGACCAGGAGAAACTGGAAAAATCCAGTAGTCTACTGGAAAATCCAGTAGAGTTGGCAGCTATGCAGAATGGGTATTTGATAATAAGATGCATAATCTAATCTTAGCAAAACTGCATGGAAAATTTTAAAAAACAAAGCAAAAGTTTATTTTTAAGATAACAATAATCAAATGGTAAAAAAAATTTTACCCCACGAAATTCATCTCCAGTTCCACGAAAGTTCACTTAAATGTTTTCCGATTTCAGAATTAAAATTATCGTCCATTGCTTTAATTTGTTCCTTTATTTCTCATTAAATTTTTTACATATTTATTTGCAATTTAGTATCAAGCTTGTGATAACAAAATTATATTTCAATTTTTGCTTCACCATAATATTTTCTTTTACCATTTAAAAACGGCTCAGGGTCATAACAAAACAATAGACAAAATTTGAATGTTGATTATTTGTATCATAAGAGGTAAATCAGTAATGAATATTGTTAAATTAGTTTAATGTGTCCTATTGCACTGTGCAATATGTGATAAAATGCTTTAAAGTAGGACTTCATATCAGAGATTAAAATTATAAAATTTAAGGAAAAATTCAGAAATTCACAAATGAGTAATGTAAAAGTTTCTGTAAAATTAAATAAAAAATATTCTGCTCGAATTTCCCCGGACAAAAAAAAAACTTGTTACATTTATTTACAGACTTATAAAAGCTATTGTAGTAGATGTGAAAGGAAACCCTTACTCAATATTACAAATTAGAATATTTACTAATAGGCAGAGATTTTTTTGAAAGTGTATGATGATTAATTTCTTAAAACTAAAATTTTGCTTCATTTTTAAAATATTCCATGCTGCTTTGCTAAGAATAGAATATATTTCTTATTAAATTAAATAGCCATTCTGAAATATTCATTTTAATTAATAAATTTTTATTTCATATTTCATTGAAAGTCATAAGTGTACCAACACTTTTATGAGTCACTGTATTTACATTTCAATATAAAGCTGCACTGTATTTTATCTTAACAGTGCTTTTTATAAAATTCATTGATCATATTTTCTTTAAACCAATATCTCAAGTCAAATTTTTAAATAATTTTTTTTTGAATTAGCATTATTATTTTAAGAGATTCGGTATACAAAAATAAATGTCACAAAGGCAAAATTGTTTAATTTTTTGTTGTATGCTCTATAGAAAAAAAAAGATCAAATTCTTTAAATTTTATACTTTTTTTTTCCTTATTTGAAATTGAAATATTTAAAGAATTCCAATCTAAAGACATAGTTTTTTAGTTTAGTATAGTTAATTGTTTTTGCTGTAATAACTAAAGTTTTGTACAGTGCAGAACTAAGATAGAACACTAAGTTTTGTTTTCCTTCTTCGTACTAAACACATATGAATAAAAATATATATATTTTATGCTTAAAATGTATTTAATCATTCAATATGTTTCCTATGCATTCCTTAGTCTTTGTCAGCTTTTTAGGGTAAAAGGAGGAATAGTTTTGGGAAAATCATCTCTGGAAAGAAAGCAACATTTACGAACTTCTGATATTGTGATAAGTATACAATTCAAATTTTGAATCAAAAATCATATATAGACCAACAAAACAGTAAAATTAAATATTAATATATAGTTAGTTCTTAAAAAAAACTTTTTTTAAAAAATTAAATTATGTTATAAAAGGTCAAAATGAAATAGAAAAAATTAGCTTTAATGAAACAATTGTAACAATTTGTCGACAAACATTGCTGTTAGCAAATTGTAAAAAAAATTTATGATTGGTTGGTTTGCTGAGAAAAAATAATTCACAGATTTCTTGAAAGCTATTGTTGTTGTCTAATGCCACTTGTCAAAACTGACAAGCTTATTTTTAAGGCAGGAGGGGCGTGCTTGTTTCCCAGAGAAGCCATCTATGCAAGTATTCGACTTCTGATACATACATGCATCACATCCCCTTTTACAGGGAGAATACTTTCTGACACTTTCCATTTAAAGTAGGGGTGCACAACCTTTTTGATTGAAGGGCCATTTGCACAGCAGGTCGAAAAATAAAGGGGTCGCACGCATATTTAGACATGTAAACAGCAAATAACATAATTTTTTTTTATAAAAATAAGCACTACTTTTTTTTTAATCAGTAAACCTAGAATTTTATCAGTAACATTTTCAGAAAATTAAATACTTTTAATTTTTAAAATTTCTTTTAATTATTAAAAATCATTCAATTATAGAAAACCTGATCCTTTTTTTTAAAAAAAATTTCTCTTCTTATTAAAAATTGATAGATTAAAAAAATATATAAAAAATTGATAAAAGAAATGGGGTTTTTTTTTCATATCACTTAGCACAAAAAATCTTTTTAATATAAATTCAAACTTTTAAGAAAAAAACGTAATCTACTCAGAATGAAAGTAGAAAAAATAAGTTTAATAAATGCATATTTTGATGATTAATACAAATTCAAATTAAATATTTTAAATGAACAAAATTTATAGGAAAAATAACTTGGATTTGAGATGAAATCAGCTAAAATAATGTGAGACAAAAAGGGACTACTCATATTCGAAATTAGAGTATCTTAATATCGTATTAAAATTGTTGGGTTTTTTAAAAACCATGCAAAATTCTAAAGCAATTACGGTGAAGTAAGCTATTGAAAAACGCAGATTTACTATAGAATATATATTTAAATTGAGCTCCTTAAAAAGTGATAACTCAAATGTGCAATTCAAAATTTTTTATGTTTAAAAAAAACAAACATTTTTTTTGTGTACAGAAGCCTTTGCGGGCCACACATCAACAGTCGGAGGGCCACAACTGGCCCGTGGGTTGCAGGTTGACAATGTCTAATTTACAGAAAATACAACTCCAGAATACAATTTGTTGCAAAAAAAAAATTTCCCTGTAAAGGTAATTGGACCCTAATCTTTATATTGGACTGACGATGCTCAGGTCAAAATTACATAAGTGCAAAAGGCGATACAATTTTGAAATTGCAAAACAACTATTTAAAGGAAAAGATATAATATATTATGTAAAAGCAAAGAGAATTCAATAGCTAGGACACCTTGAGAGAATGGAGGAAAACAGAAGCAATAAGAAGATATTCAAGGGGCAGTGCCAGGGCCAGAGGAAAAGAGGAAGGCCGGGCAAGAGATGGTTAGACGAGGTGGAAAAAGACCTGTAAAAGTCCGAAACTGGAAACAAAGAGTTACAGACAGGCGACTTTGGAGAAAAATTGTTAGTGAGGCCATGGTCCAACATGGACTGTAATGCCAGGGAGTTAGTTAGATACAAATCAGAGTTTTTTTTTAAACAAAAAATGTTTAATGAGCTATAGATTATAATTATCAAATCTGGAGAAAAAAATATTCCATGTGTTTTCCTGTACATATTATACACAATATATTAAAAGGAAAAACATGTATGTATGAAAAACTCTTGTATGACCTGTATTGGGTTAACTATATTATAGTTATAGTACATAACTATACATTAATTCAGGGGTTTCCAACTTACATGAGGCCGGGGGCCACAATTAAAAACACAAATCAAATGGCGGGCCGCAACTTTATCAAAATTTTATGTAGGGCTCTTTTATGTTTGAAGGAACATTAAATTATACTGTCAGATTTGTACAAAACAAAAGTACTGAATTACAAATTAAAAAAAGAAGTAGATTTTTAAAAATATTTAATTGCATAGTAAAAAATTCGGGCTACAATGAAGCATTCATGTGCAACAGATATCTAAAACTTTAAAAAGGTTAGTATTAAAACTTAACACAAAATGCTCAATGAGAAAATTGAGGTTTGTCTGCTGCAACAACCAGAGAATAGATATTTACATTTCAAATTTAAAGAAAATTTCTGATACACACATGCTAAATTATATTCACAAAATACAAAAAAAAAAAAAAATGAAATAAAAAAGAGCAACATACACAATCATTTTTGTATTTGCATAAATATTTTCTTAAAAGCAAAACCCGAGAGATAAATTTTTTTTGCATTGCTGGTATGTTAAATTTCACAGAAACGAAGAAATTAGGTTTTTATTAAAGAGAAAAGTATTTTAAAACCACAAAGATTTTTTACGAAAATTGTCTGCACAACTAATTTAGTTCGCGGGTCACAGAAAAAGGCTTCGCTGGCCGCCAGATGGAAACCACTGCTATAGTGATAATTGCTGAAAAAAGGAACAGCTGAACATACTCAAAAAATGCCATAGTAAATGAAATAGTTTAATATAGTTGAAATAATATTCCAGAGATTGCGGTTTGAGTGGTCACCATTTTTTAAAAGACAAACAAAATTCCCTGGCAGTGAGTCAATAACTATGATTTAGATTAACCTGGTGAATATGCGCCCTGACCTGGGCTCGAAAAACCTCCCATTCGCGGCGGTACTTGGTTACTAATAGTAACCTAGTATTTCTTTTATTACTGTATAATGTAATCCTAGTAACTGCTAATTCATTGTGTAATTTATATAAAAGTTTGTAATAAATAAGAGAAAATTATATTTTCATTTATTTAGAAGCTTCGGGGACGGGAGAGGTAAAATTTGAGTTTTTTCAAGCCCTGGACCTGACTCTTTATCATCAATAATTTCCCCCCGACGACAAAGATATTCTAGAAGAAAATACAGATAAAAACAGGACAAGATAAAAAAAATAATAACACTTACCACTGACAGAGCCTTTTTTGATTGGCGGTAAACCTTTTTTACGTCGCTCCCGCTCACGTTCTCTTTCTCGCTCTTTTTCATGAATCCTTTCTCGACCTTCAGAACGGGAACTTTTTCGGGATCTCGATTGAGATCTTTTCCTTCTGGGAGACTTGGAACGACTCCTGTTATGTCTTCCGCTTCTATATTTTTAGTTAAAAATTCATTGTTTTAATTACAGAAAAATATCTTATTTTTTATCAGTGTAATTAACAAGATGAACTAAAAGAATAGTGGAAATAATGATTCATGTTGTAATAGCATGTATAGTTGTTATTATTTGAAATATCTTGCAGAAAGATATTAGTTCTAGAGAGGTTTATCAGTCACCGTTATTCACCGTCCATTAAATCACAGCATAGCTGCCAACAGGAAAAAATCAAGTAGATTTTACGATACAATATAAACTCTATGATAATTGTTGCATGATGTCCTAAATAATTTACACATAGGGAATTTTAGGGATTTTTATAGTCCTCAAAGTAGAAAAGCTGAAATTTTTCCCCAGTTATGTTGAAATAAAATTGATCCAATAATTTTTTTTTTTTTTTAAATTATGCACATGTCACGCATTTGTCTTTCATTGCTCAGTCAATATTTACTTTCTCGTGAATTTTATAAATAGGCTGATATTATTACGGCACGTAAAATTCAAATCGCAGATTCAAGAAATAATTTTTCGGCACACTCATTTTACACTGATATTCTTGTTAATCCATGCTGTATTTCTATTGTTCTTTTGACAGTTATTGCTACAAATTATCACATTCTCAGTGCTATTTTGACTTTTATTGCTCGTGCTCAAAAATTTTTATGGGGATTTTAAAATACCGGTAATTTCTCAGTTAACATTACTTCTACATGTGAAATTTAAATTGTGCATTCAAATAATCACTTTATGCTGATATCACAAATTCATGTAGTGTTTAGGTTGTATTTTCGGCAGTTATTGATATTGATTTTCAAGTGGTTTTTAAATACCCTGATATATTTCTGACAATATGGGAAATTCAAATCGCTCATATGAAAATTTAATTTTTAATAAGATATTATTTATTAAAACAGTCAAATCTAAAAAAGAAACAAGCATTTAGTATCCCCTTTTTTAAGAGTCCAAATCGAGTGATTTCTTTTCGTAGTTATCTAGAGCTTAAAATGTTATGAATTATGTTTACTTGTAATTTTGAATAGGTATTTAATTCATCAAAGATAGTTAACTGTTTTTTACAAATGAGGCTCGCTTCATTATGTATTAGTAACACTTATTAAAGCAAGCAATAATATGAGCAAAAATTCTATTTTAATAGAGATTTTTCAAGGAAATTTACTAAATTTTAGGGAATTTTCTAAAATGTACAAAAACCAGGAGAATGTTTACTAAACTAGTAGACCAGGAGAAGCTGACAAATCCAGTAGTCTACTGGAAAATCCAGTAGAGTTGGCAGCTATGGATAATATACAGGGTTGCCACTCAAATCTGGGGAAAAAATTCCCTGTGTTTTCCCTGTACATATTATACACAAAATACTAAGAGGATACAACAATTACTGTGCTCTTGTGTGAGCTATATATAAGCCTAACTATATTTATCAGTTTTAATTGCTGGAAAAACAGCTGAACATACTTATATAATGCTATAGTAAATGAAATAGTTTAGTACAGCTGAAATACAGGGTATCTGCTACATTTTAGATTTTCAAATTCATTTCATGATTTTCCATGACTAATTCCAAGAATTTTTCATGAATTAACGAAGTTACTATTTTCTCCTACAAAAAAGCAACAATAAATTTAGAAAAACATTATAACAACATTAGTTGTAATCATAGGTATAACCAAAACTGCTACACTCTGCATCTTCATATTTATTGATTTTAAATTTAAAAAACAGAGTAAAGAAAGAGCTAAAACGGTAAAATAGCTTTAAAAAAAAATACAAAAGCAAATAATTTTTCCTGCAAAATTATATTCTAAAGATACCTTTCTTGTTCATCAGAAAGGAAAGAAATACTACTGATTTTTCTGTTCTCATTTCGGAATTTAAAAAAAATTCGCCAATGACTGGTTTGCTTCAACTAGAATTTTAAATTGATAAAATTTAAAAAAATAACAATAAAAATTCTTAAATCACAGAAGAGAGAGTTGAAAAGATAATTCGCTCTAGAAATGATGTTTTTTCTTTCATTTTTTGAAAGAACACCATAATTTTTAAAGAACAGAATAAAATAATTTTATATTCTAATAAAATATGACTGAGTAGTAATTTTGTTAGAAATTCAGATATTTGGAAAAGGATGACATTAGGGGGGGGGGGTTTCATTTTAAAAATTAGATTTTTCGACGACCTAAATTCATGACTGTTTTTAAAAAATAGTAAAAATCATGACATTTCATGACATATTTTGTTCAATACTGAAATTCATGACTTTCATTGATCATTCATGACTTTCCAGGTGAGCGGATACCCTGTATGGATAATATACGGGTGAACAGGAGGTAGTTGTAAAATACAGGAGTCTTTGTTGAAAAACAAGAGACTATATTTTGATTGAAATAAATAATTACCTTCCTCTTGATCTGGAGCGGGATCTATCCCTCTTTCTTTCTTCGTCTGGTAGTAGGAGTGCTCGCTCGTCAAAATCTTGTGGAGGTAAGGGTGGTTCACCGGGCATGCTGTACATAATTCTTTCATCCTCATCTCCTTTCATATCCTGTTGATCCAAATCCATAAGTGCTTGTTGATTCTGGTATGGAATTCCTTCACTGTTGTAAGGCAAGGGAGGTGGCAAGATCTGCAAACATTACAAAAAATTAATCATTTTTCTGATCAAATGATTTAAAACAGAGTGCATAGCCAATTCTTTCAATTAAAAAATAAGCACCTTTTAAGTACTTTTCAAGCACTCAAAAAATATTTTTAATAATTTTCAAAATAATTTTCGAAGACTTTACATGATCATGATAAAATAATCAGTTTCTGACAAAGAACTCTTTTTCTTGATTATATTAGCCACCATGAGGGGTGATTGCGAGCCGAAGTCATAATTCCGGAAAATTTCTTGAGTTAAAAAAATTTGGGGGAAAAAAAAACATTTTAAATTGAAAGAAAATTTAAACAATGTTTTTCTTCTTCTTTCTCAATATTTCTTAGTTTACTTAAAATATATTTAAAATTTTTACACATACCTATGATGACTTGGAGAAGTAATTAAAATTTACAAATATATCCTTCTTTCTTGAGTTTATGATTATAACAACTATTTACTGATAAAAAATTAATATTAATCATGAACATAAGCTTATAAAGTATCTCTCTGGCTTTCCCTTACAAACAAATAAAATAAACTGTTTTTTTAAGTGAAAAATCCGGAAATCCGGTTTTTTTCCAGAGCACAATCAGCCCTGGTCAAATCTTTCAGGTAAAAAATAAGCACCTTTTAAGTACTTCTCAAGCACTCAAAAAATATTTTTAAGCACTATATATGTTACCGGCAAAGTACAAAATGCCTAAGCATTGTATATAATGCCGGATGTTTTTAGGCAAGGTGTGAAATATGAGAAGTATTAGATACTTTCCCTATGCATTGTATATAATACCTTGGCATTCTATAGAATGACAAATGCTATTTAGGCAAAGTATGAAAAAAAAAGTCCTGATGAGGTTATTATGTAAATGATGTGCATTTCTCATAAATAAATATGTTATTCTGAAAAAATAATGAGAGTGAAATTTAAAAAAAATTTATTCAAAAAGCGTAAAGAAAAATAAAAATTGTACAAAACATAATTTATGCCTTTATTATTAAGGGAAACAAAATTGACGTATAAAAAATTCACATTTAAGTCACAATTATTTTCAGTTTAGAAACAAATATTGTACAAAATATCCATTTCATCACCTTTACTAGCATGGCCACAGAAGATTTTATACTTTGCCGGTTTCTCATTTGGCATTTTATAAAATGCCAAATGAAATATGTGAAATATAAATCATTTCATACATTACGGTTTTAGGCATTATATACAATGTCTAGGCATTCTGTAGAATGCCAGATTTTAAACTTTGCTTGTAACATATACATTAACAAAACACAAAATAATTTTCAAAGATTTTACATGCTCATGACAAAATAATCAGTTTCTGTCAAAAAAAACTTTTTCTTCTTGATTACAATAGCCAACGTATAAAGAATGAGAGATTTTTCGGTTTGATTTCAGCCGGTTCGATTTGATTTCGGTTTGATTTGATTATTCTAAATGAAGCCTGGAATTTAGAATACCTTGCAAAATGCAGCAGAGTTGTACATGCGAGTGCAAGAATCTCACCGAACCCAGCTCAGTAGACGTACGTATGGGCTCGCAAGTATTTCATCGAACATATAGAATGATTGGAGGTTTCATATGCCATGAACCGACGGGACGCCAAAATAGATTGGGGTTGAATAAATTGTGAAAAAGTTGAATAGAACAATGTGAAAACCACGCCTTCGCATAATATGCGAAATCGTTAATTCGCCTGATTTGCGAAAATCGACATGGTAAAGAAAAAAAATTCTCATCTTCGAAAAGGGAAAATTAGGCACTTTTTTAAACAACCAATGAAAAAAGCACCTTTAAGGGCTTTTAAAAAACAAAAATCAAAAATAAGCACTTTTTAAAAATGTTAAGCAAGGACTTTTAAGTTAAATGATAAAAACTTACTGAAAGTTCAATGGGCGTCAGAATAGCCGATAGAGATCTTTCGTCCAAGTCCCTGGGTGGAGGATCTGGTATTATCCGGTCATCTTTGTCTCCTTCTGACTGAATGCCATGATAAACACCAGGTGGCTACAAATGGAACACATCTTCATAATTAATTTCATCTAACACACATTATAACTTATTGACAAGTAGAAGAGAACAGGTAAAATGAAATACAGATTTTGCACAGCTGACACTCTTTTTGCTTTTATAACATTAAACAAAAATTAAAGTTGCAAAAACAAAAAGTTTCACCACAAAAACAGTAAACAAAACCCGCTTTAAGTACTGGATCAACTTTATAGTATTAAACTCGATTAAAAACTTTAAAATACAGGGAGCGGACACTCTCAGGACCCACAAAAAAAAAAAAAAAAAAAAAAAAAAAAAAAAAAAAAAAAAAAAAAAAANGGGAAGGGTACACTGACACCGCAAATTCTTTTTAAAAATAATTTCAACGTTATAGAAATACAGTAGAGAATCATTTATCCGGTATCCAGAAAATCAGGAAGAATTTTGCTTGGTTTTCCCGCTATTTTGAAGTATAACTATTACAAAAAAAAAGCGGAAATTTGACTCATCCTTGAAGTTGAGGAGAGGGAAAGGGGAGGAATTCTTCTCCTCGTTTGCCCAGAGAAACTTCAATTCTTCCCCTGACCTTGAAGATCATTAAATTGAGAGGGGGCAGGGAAGGGACAAATGTTTTATTTTCTCCTGTGTGTCAGTTGTTTTTCTAATAAGCTGCCGTCAATCAAACTTAAAGGAGTGGCATGCTGATTTAGTTTGCTCTTTGATTTACGAGGGGATGGGGAAAATGCATGGCACATGCATATCAATGAATCCGAGTTAAGGAACTTGAAACTTCTGGCTAAGAGCATCGACATGTGAGATTTTTTTTAAAATCCACTTTAGTTGCTCAGTTTTTGTTATCCCTGATTTATTGTGGTGAATTGTTTTATTATTTCGGATACTGCATCATTTATTATGAACAAAACGTTTTTTAATCACCAGTTATATTCATCTATTTGACGTTGATGAACAAAACAATATATATATTTTTTTAATAAATTCTGATTTTTTTAGAAATGCGGTATCATTAGCAGGTTTTTCTTGATGTGCAATCACATCTGCTTTCGTTAAAAATAGTCTTTTTATAAAAAATAAAAGGAGAAGATTGTTTATAAATTTAAGCATATAATTTGTTAATAAAAGCAAAAGATTATTTTATGAAGCAGATAGCAGTTTTCCTTTTTTAATATTGATTCTGTTTTTCTGATTCCACTGAGTTTGTTTTTTTTTCTTTTCTTTTTCTTTTTAAGATAAATTTCATACTCAATAAATTAATTCTTTTTATTCATAAATTTTGTCACTAAGTTGATTTCTTTCCCCTTCTTTGAATTCCGTTGATCTTATAATATCCTGCCTCGTTCCAGGTTTTAATATATATGTTAAGCTGGATCTCCACCGAGAGCAACGGCAATCTTGTTGCCAACGGTGCGCACAAACGCCGTTTCTCCATGTTGCCGTTGCTTCCAGTTCAAGAGTGCGAAACGAGTCAACTCTTGCTGCCGTTGCCAACCCTAGTAGCCAATCAGATTCGTTACTAGTTTTCGCTCCCAACCCTGGTGTTTTGATCTGTTTAACAGAACACATGAGTAAAGCGAAGCAGCGATTTGAATTTTATAATTTGTTTTCAATTTTACTTTTAAGAAAAATGGAAGAGCAATTGATTGACTTTCTGTGAAACAGCCCGTGGTTATATGCCTGGCTATAATGCACAGATAAAAAAAAAGAAAAAAAGATTGATCTTCATATTAAATTTAGAAAGAGATGAAAAAAAAAACAATAAAATACTATTTAAAATTGTGTAGTTCATTTTATTAGATTTAGTAATAGTTCACTAACGACAGGTTTGAGTGTCAATAATAATAAAAAATATTTAGAGTTTTGTTGCCAAATGTGATGTTAACTTCTTAATCCTTTGAATAATTCGAATGAATTAAATAGCCATTATGAAAATTAATTACATTATTCAGTAATAAAAGAATTAATGGGATTTCTAGATTAGAGGGTCATTTTAGAAGTGAGACACTAGACTCTTGTAAGAAAACGAAAATTGAAAATGTATCAAGAATATTAACGGGAAAATGGCCGTCCGCGCGGACGTCGGACCCGAGAAATTTGTTGCCCGTGGGGAATTTTTGATTGCCGAAGACGGGTGGTTTTTCGAGCCCTGCCTCGTCTATTTTTTTGATGTAAGCAATTACGATTATTTTGTTGTAGAATGGGTTCTCTAACAATCAAATTATTAATTACTGTAGCAAACAGTGTTTTCCTTGTATTTTTAAATAAGAAAAAAATCATACAATTATTTACCTAATTTTTCTACAGTGTTTTTATTCAAATCCATTTATTATTGGATTATCCGATATCTGTCTAGCAAGACCCAAAGATGGATTTGAGAAGACAGTCTTTTTGAAAGGAGAAAGCTAAAATTTAAATTAACCTTTCAAGTTAAAATTTAAATTGCAGCTTCGGCACTAAATCACTGCAGAGAACGTGGAAAGAACTGTCTTGTAGACATTGTTGAACCGAACACTGTACTAACAAAAATTAAACTGTATCTGATAAGACATAATTTAATCTGTGAAACTATTGTGAAAGACAATAAGCTAATTTCAAATTTATAAATAAAAATCAAACATAAAGTAAATTCTCCATTCAAAATAATA